AAAATAGTTGGTGGAAACGGCCATTAGAAAACGATTTAGAGAAAACAGTATTGCAACGTTAGAAGCTACTGAAGATGCGAACACCTTAATTGTAAACACAGCTATTAAGTATAAGAACCAGTGGCGGCTGGTGAGAGGAAAAGTTGGCGGTGCACACACTCAGGGTGGAAGCCCCAGAGGCGCGCAAATTTTTTTGGACTGACCCAGACTAACCCAAATTTTGATCTAAAAGTTGTAAAAAAACACGCCTCAGAAAGTTTTTTCACCTATTCTCAATTCAAACGTGGGCATTTACCATTTCTACAAAATAATAAATGAAGCACGGGCGGAGTACGAGAAATTTATTAAAACAGTTTCATATAAAATAAGGCACCATACGAATCAAATAGGAATCAAATTTATAAAAAAAGTATCTACTGTACAGTGCACTGGCTTTCCAGACGAAACTGATTTCTTTGCGGCAGGCGCTTCAAAGAAATATGCCGTCCTATGGCGCCAGGGACGCCGCTGAAAAATCTAAAGCCGGGCTCAGACGACTCGTGTACTTGGCGAATACACAATTATTCGCGTACTTGGCAAGTATACGAACTTTGCGAATTGCGATGGCAAGCAGGGCGCTCACACGACGTGTTCAATTTACAAGTACGCGAGCGCGAACATTTGGCTAAACCTTGATGCTCGTCGAAAACTAAATAAAATAGTCGCAGTGAAAGCCAATTATTTGTGCATTTCGTTTGAGCGCCTCTACAAGTATGAACTTGGCAAGTGTACGAATAATCGTGATCCCTTTGACTCGGGACATTTTTACCGACAAGAAATGGAAAACCAACGAGTGGCAAATAAATGTACAAGTAACCCACTCACACGACATGCCAAGTATACGCAAGTAACGATTATTCGTCAAGTACACGAGTCGTTTGAGCCCGGCTTAACCAATAAGATATTCCTGGAGTCAACGTTGACTGTCTATGGATAGTCAATTCAAATGAGACAGTAAAAAAAAATTAAATTCCTTCTAGTAAATTGATCCAGATTTATCCAGACTTGTACAGACTTATCCGGATTCTGGAAAATGATCCCCAGGTCTTTTGGGACCTTTTCCAGAATTTTTCCGACCCTTTCAAGAAATTTCCAGGCCTATTCCAGACGTTTCCAGGGATTTCCAGACATTATCCAGAGCTTTCCAGAGTTTTCTAGACTTCATCCAGATTAATCAAGTCTTTACCCAGACTTGTTCAGACTGATCCGGATTCTCGAAAATGATCTTCAGGTCCTTTGGGACTTTTTCCAGAATTTTTCCAACCCTTTCCAGAAATTTCCAAGTCTTTTACAGACGTTTCCAGAGATTTCCAGACTTTTCCAGACAATATCCAGATTTATCCAGAGTTTGACAGACTTTATCCAGATTTATCCAGACCTTATCCAGACTTGTACAGACTGATCCGGATTCTGGAAAATTATCCCCAGGTCTTTTGGGACCTTTTTCAGAATTTTTCCAACTCTTTCCAGAAATTTCCAAGTCTTTTCCAGACGTTTCCAGAGATTTCCAGACTTTTCCAAACAATATCCAGACTTATCCAGAGTGAGACATACTTTATCCAGATTTATCCAGACCTTATCCAGACTTGTACAGGCTGATCCGGATTCTGGAAAATGATCCTCAGGTCGTTTGGGACCTTTTTCAGAATTTTTCCAACCCTTTCCCGAAATTTCCAAGTCTTTTCCAGACGTTTCCAGGGATTTCCAGACTTTTCCAGACAATATCCAGACTTATCTAGAGTTTGACATACTTTATCCATATTTATCCATACCTTATCCAGACTTGTTCAGACGGATCCGGATTCTGGAAAATGATCCCCAGGTCCTTTGGGACCTTTTTCAGAATTTTTCCAACCCTTTCCAGAAATTTCCAAGTCTTTTCCAGACGTTTCCAGAGATTTCCAGACTTTTCCGGACAATATCCAGACTTATCCATAGTTTTACAGACTTTATCCAGATTTATCCAGACGTTATCCAGACTTGTACAGACTGATCCGGATTCTGGAAAATGATCCCCAGGTATTTTGGGACCTTTGGCAGAATTTTTTCGACCCTTTCCAGAAATTTCCAGGCTCTTTCCAGACGTTTCCAGAGATTTCCAGACTTTTCCAGACTTTATCCAGACTTGTTCCAGCTCACTTGGCTTGTTCCAGGTTCTTGTTGTGTGTTGTGTGTTAATTAAATTGCCGCAAAAACTAATCCGGGCCGTTCGATCAGGTGGCCCCGTTTATACGTATAAAAACAGCTGGTTACTGGGAGCGCGGCGTGACCTTCTCCAACGTAATTGCCGTGTTGCAGCGGGGCCGTTGTGAGATGGGCTCGGACGGATAGTCCAGCGAGTTTAGTTTAGTCAGTCGCTTAAATTATTGTCTAGGAAATTTAGGAATAATAACGACAGAAATTTTTCCGTCGGGATCAAATTATAAAATGATAAGTAATTTGATCTGACGATTGTAATAAATATTGAACTAAAAAAAAAAAAAATATTTTAAAAGGACCGACATATTTTGCGCCAGTGCCACGGCCCCTTGGCCCCTTAGGGCCAGCCGCCACTGATAAGAACTATATGTATAATACAGCGGATAAGCTAACCTATTGTTCACTTTTTGATAAAGGAACCAAATTTGGCACAGCGGTAGACCGATGTAATATGATTATGAACAAATTTGGATGTGGAGCCATCGCCCAACTGCCCCCTGGCGGTTGTGGCGGCGATTTTTTAAAATTGCTGAAAGACAAGGGAAGTAAGATAAAGTTTGCTACTGAAGGTTTTGGTGAATGTTTATTGATTGTTTTAAATGAAAACATTCCAGATGGTTTTAAAGTTATACAGGGTGGGGCACGAAAAACTTCCTACCTTGATTTTCTCAGGTCTCGTCTCAGGTTTTAGGTGATGAATCAAAAATCGCTCGGACACGTTATTTTTTGTTTCTTGCGGAACACATTTCATTGGTATCGGGTCTTCAAAAAAAAACTCAATCAAAGATTCGATTTTTTAAACGTATTTTTCTTCAATTTTGTCCATGAGCTTTAATGTCAAAATTTCATGTCAAAAATCCTGACCAATAAAAGAACAATAATGCGACGTACGTTTAAAAAACTATAGCAATCGTTGCTTGTTTTTTTTTTGAAGACCTGATATTTTCAGCCTCTACCCGTCAAATTTCAAATGGAAAGGGAGTTCGAGTCATATGTACTACATATTTCTTAACTTTGACGACTCGCCTTTTCGTCAGGGAATATTTACCCTGCCGCAACTTAAAATTTCGAGGATATATTCTTAATAAAAACTTTCCATCAAATGACGTATCACTCGACCCCCTTTCTATTTGAAATTTTTGGAGGTACCTGGCTCCCCCGCTTAGAGGCTGACAGGTAGAGGGATGAAAATACCATTAAAATGGTCGATTGATTTTTGATTATTCACCTTACATCTGAGAAAACCTGGAGAACAAGGTGTCCCATGACGTTTTACCCAGGTGATAACTTCGGAACGCGTCATACAATATAATTGAAATTTTGAGGATCTGGGTAACTTTTTGTGCCGCTTCTACATGCGTCATGCATCCAATTCCACTTTCGCTTCAGTTTTGGTCAAGTGACGGCAACTTTAGAATCTTGAATGTAACTGATGGTATTATATCATTTTTCGTTAGAAAATTCGATTACAAAATCAGAAATGGCATATTTGCCAAGGCTTTGTTAAAGAAAATGAAAAATTACAAAATGGAACATTAGATGACGCGTTCCTAAATTATCACCTGGGTAAAACTTCGTGTAACACCCTGTATATATAGTGTGGGGCACAAAAAAACGTCCCACCCAAGTTTTCCTCAGGTGTTAGGTGATCAATCAAAAACCGCTCGAACGTTTTATTTTAAACTGATGACAAAAAAAATGTGTGTATGTTCGCAAGTCAGCTGCTGCAGGTCTATATGCCTTCACTGCCATGGAATAGATTTCAAATATGCTTGTATTCTAGACGAGGATCTTTTCAATGATTGAGTTTTTGTTTCGTTAATTTTTTTTTAATTTTAAGCTCAAAATTCTTGAAAAAAAAATGTTAAAATTGCTCCAAGAGACAAGAAGATATTTGATTTTTAAAGATTTGAACGGACGGCCATGCTTTTTCAAGATGGCGTTTTAAGCTCACAATGGATTTTTTGGGATTTTTATATATTTGTTCCTGGACATATAATACATCGATTTCCATTGAAAAAAAACTGTCCCCTTGAACTTCATTAAAAAAATCTATGAATGAATGAAAACCTATGAATACTATACCTATATACCTATATATTTTTTTCATTAAAGTACTCAGTACTATAATGAAATAATTATAGTACTCAAACCAATAAAGTATGTCATTATAACACTATAAATGTAGTCTATAATAATGTCATTTCGGAACGCCGGAAAATAAAATAAATATTTGATCCTTTTCTTTCATGTGCTACGAGAAAAAGGATGAAATAATCTAATTAAGTAAGAATTGTAGGTAACTTAGCGCATTGGGTCGAATTGAAGATAAAAAATCATTATGATAGAAATATTTTGTTTTGCTCTGGTTCTTTCAATTGAATTCGATTATAGCGGAGCTACAAGATAAATATAAAATCCGTTTTTTTGTTGAAGATAAAAGCTAAAATGACATTATGTTGGCAATACAAAGTAAAATTGTCAGTGCTTTCAAATTTTTACGTAGAAAAGGCTTGTGTTGCCAACATACTTAATAAAAAAACAGACTTAAGTATAGTATCTCCACTGCAGTGGAGCAACAATTATAATTAGTGGAGCAAAATAGGAGCAAAATGATGGGAATATGTTTCATTCAGAAAAATTCAGTGGTGGGGGCTACCTCAACCACTGACCCAAAAAATGCTAAGGCTTAGGAACGAAGCGTTTTCTGTTTAGTAAATACTAATATTTTTGCAGATTTTTATTAAAAACAAATTTGAGCAATGGATATTAAAGAAGAAATTGAGGATGCTGATTCACTGGAGGCCTTCAATGGACTACAACCACAATATTCTCATATAAATTTTAAGCTTGAAGAAGATTCGGAAGATTTTAATAGGTAAGAAATTTAATTTAAACAGAAACTAGAAAAAAATAAATAGATTAGGTACCTATTAAAATTATAATTTGTTTATGATATTGATATTAATTAGATTTTTGTTTTTTTTAGCATTCCAACGCAAAATGGGTTATCAGATCATATTAAGCAAGAAGTTGACATTGGACCGATTTCCATATTGGACCATGCAACTGGAATTTCTGTAACAGCGGATCAATATTTGGATATTGACATGGGATTTGGAGAAAACTCAACAGATCCTAATAATCAAAAAATCGAATGCAATGTTTGCCATCTAAAGTTTAAGTATGTGTCTGGATTGGAATACCATTCAAAATCACATACAACTGAACGTCCGTTTGAATGTGATATTTGCCACGAAAAATTTAAATGTAAAAGATATTTGAAAAATCACTTAGTGAACCATTCAAATACATATGAATTTGAATGTAATATCTGTCACGCAAAATTCAAACGAAAAAAATATGTGAAAAGGCATTTAGTAACACATTCAGATAGATATGACTTCCAATGTGGCATTTGTCATAAAAAATTTAAACTGAAATACCATTTAAAACAGCATTTAAAAGTTACACATTCAGATAAATGTGATTTTGAAAGTGATATTTGTCATAAAAAATTAAAATCGAAAAACAATTTAAAACTGCATTTGATGACCCATTTAGATACATACAATTTTAAATGTGACCTTTGTCACAGAAAATTCAAATTCAAAGGAATCTTAAAAAACCACTTATTGACACATTCAGATAAACGCGATTTCAAATGTGATATTTGCCACAGAAAATTCAAACGGAAATCAGATTTGAATTCGCATTTGATGAAACATTCCGATAAATATGATTTCGAGTGTAGTATTTGTCACGAAAAATTTAAGCGGAAAAATGGTTTAAAAGTGCATTCAATGAAACATTCCGATAAATCTCAAAATGAGTTTGAGTGTTACATTTGTCATAGAAAATTCAATCAAAAATGTAATTTAAAAAGGCATTTCTTCAGAAGGCATTCCAAAAAAAAACAATGACGCTTGAAATGGAATTATGTAGTTAATGCATTGCATAGGTATTTGTCGGAAAAAAATAGTAAAATGTAAAGTAGAATATAGTATCTAGTAATTGTAGAGCTCAAAATTGTGTTGCAAAATTTGCTAAAGTCTGTTTTTTTTTTTAAAATAAAAGTAAAAATGACATTATGTTGGCAATACAATGTAAAGTCTGTTTTTTTTAAAGATAAATCCCCAAGTCTAAAATGTGAAATCATTGACAATTTTTTATATTGTATTGCCAACATCTTTCATCTTAAAAAAAAAGACTAAAATTGTCAATGCATTCAAATTTTTTATGTAGAAAAGGCTTGTGTTGCCAAAAAAAGTTGGTAAATTTTTGACGGGAATTATCATTAAAAAAAAAACAGACTTTATGTTTTACTTTTTTTTTGGTTAAATAATAAATTATTTTCATTTAATATTTTGTATTTGGTTGTTCTACCTTTATAGCCTATCACTCATTTACAGCCTGATCCGAGGGGTCAATCACCCAAAGGAAAAAAGTCCAGGGATTCCCATATTTGGGAATACTTTGGTGAATTTTCAAGTATTTCCGGTATTCTTTAGTATTCCTGGATATTTCCAAATTATTCCCAGTATTTCCCAGGTAGTTCTGTATTTCTTGATTGATACAAAATATATTCCTATGTATTCCTAGTTATTTCCATCCTATTCCCAAGTATTTCCAAGTATTCCTAGGTACTTATTATGTACTCCCATGTTGTTTTTATTCAAATAATTTCCTATGTAGAGGGGGTGTGACCCAAAAATGAAAGTTTTAGTGTTAAAAAATCTTAGAACAAATATCTAAACCGCATCTTGCTACGATCAATTGTTTTCGAGTTAGGGCGGTTTAAAGTGATAAACGCCTAGGCTCTGACGTTACACCGGCTTCGGCGGCACAGTTAAAATACGTGTAAAATTTTCCAAAATAAAAGTCAACAATCCCACTTAAAGCGAATTGCAACCACTCAAAGTATAGGACACGGATCACTGGGTCACACTCCATTTAAGAGTTATTTTTGCTACAGCATGTGATATAGGCGCTTGAAAAATAGTTGAGTCAGAAAATAGTACTTAAAATGTTTGCTAGTGTACAGTAAAGTCCATTCCAAAATATTTCGTTGACTTCACGGCTATAAAACCCTACCATAAATTAGATAGCTATTAGCCTCTATTGTGTAGGTACCAGGTTCTTTTATGTAGGTACCGGGTTCCTTAATACCCACTCAAAGGTTTACAGGTACGGATTTTGTGCCCATTATAATGAAAACGAAAAAGGCGTTTCATAATATTATTTATTTATGTTATAATCTTATACTATCTTAATAATTACCAAAACTTAATATCTAATACAATATAATACAATACACAATTCAACCAAACCTAATCTATATTTAGTTCCGTTTCACTGTCACTGTCATCTTCATCTATGCCTAAACTAATTATTAATGGCTTAACATTAATACCTATTGTATAACAAATCATAAATTTTCCTACGAATCAACTCTTTATCCGCTTCTTCAACCTTCCTTGACTTGCCGCTGTCACACCGTTGCTTCCTTGGCTGGATGCGTTTGGCTACGATATCTTTAACTGTAGATAATGGAGTTTTGGTTAAAACGGATGATTCACTCACACTTTGATTATGATTATAGCCTCTCTGCAGAAGGGTTAAATAAACGTTCCTCACAATTTCCTTGGCATCTACCGATAAATGTTTTTTTTTTTGAAATACCACTTCCGGTTGCAATACTACCATCATTTGCCCATGGACGCCACATTTTTTTTGTCAATATAACAGCTCTAGTTCTGCACAAAGACTAAATAATTTAACTAAAACATTCACCCACATTTACATGTACATCTCACCTAGGCAGGTATAATAAATAAAATCAACCCGGACCTGCTCACAGGTAGTCGAAGTTTGTGGTTGAGGGTATCATCAACATTTTATTGATACTTGAAGAGTCAACGAATTATTTTGGAATGGACTTTACCTGGATCTTAATAGAATCATCATGATTGTCCATTGTCCATGAAAACAGATGACAAATTAAAAATATCCTGTCAGGGTGGCCCAAATTCGAGCCTCATCATTGGGATCTCGGTAACCGTAAGAGATACGGGGTCGGTTAAATTATGGCAAAATTGCGCAATTTTATAACCAATAGAATGTCGTTTTGAAAGAAGAAAGATTCCGAATACTTCCGGAGATATTCGGAAAAAATCGAAATTTTGCAAAATCCTTTTTATTTTTTCCTGGGCTTATTTGAAGAGCAAATTCAAAATAAATGTCACTTCATCATTGTCACTTTTTACCATTTAGAAGATGGTGCTACTAAATTTAAAATTCGACGTTTCGTCTTCAGACGACCATCCTCAACTTCCTTTTTTTTAATACGCATCTGGATTTTTAATTTGCGATTTTGTCATCTTTGGGCATCCTAAAACCGTTACTGTTTATAATGTTTCAATAATACGGTAAAAAAAAGCAGGTCCGTATTTAAAAAAAATAAATTGGTGATGATTCCAAAGGAACGAAACGTTGGATTTTAAATTTAATACGCCATCTTGTAGAGAAGAAAAAGTGACAATGGGAATGTAAAATTAGTTTTCCTACAGCCGTGCGGAAAAATCGATTTTCCGCACTGATATGCGTGCGGAAAATGAGTTTTCCCGCACGGTGCGGTAAAATTTTTACCGCACGCATATCAGTGCGGAAAAAGTTTTTCCGCGCGGCTGTCAGTGCGGAAAAAATTTTACCGCACTGATCTGTCAAAAAAAAAAAGAAAAATTTTACATTTTTACGCCTGTAGGAAAAATATTGTACCTGACACTTGCGGAAAATATTTTTCCGCACTCGGCTGCTTTACCGGCAGCCGCGTGCGGAAAAATTCATTTTCCGCACTTGTTAGGTAAATAGCTATTTTTACAATATTTTTAAATAAAATCAGGAAAAAATGAAAACTATACGAAAAAAACATGAATTTCCCGTTTTTCTTAATTTTTTTCCTAATTCCATTTAAAAAGATTTTGAAAAACTGATTTCACATTCCCATTTTCACTTTTCCTTCTCTACGAGTAGGCGGTATTAAATTTGAAATCTAACATTTCGTTCCTCTGGAATCATTATCAAATTATTTTTTTTTAAATACGAACCTGCATTTTTAAACGTGGTATTGAAAAATTATAAACAGTATCGATTTTAGGATGCCCAAAGATGACAAAATCGCAAATAAAAAATCCAGGTCCGTATTTAAAAAAAGGAAGTTGAGGATGGCCGCCTGAAGACGAAACGTCGAATTTTAAATTTAATAGCACCATCTTCTAAAGGGAAAAAAGTAACAACGATGAAGTGACATTTATTTTGAAATTGTTCTTCAAATAAGCCCGGGAAAAAATAAAAACGATTTTACAAAATTTCGGTTTTTTCCGAATATCTCCGAAAGTATTCGGAATCTTTCTTGTTTCAAAACGGCATTCTATTGGTTATAAAATTGCGCAACTTTGCCATAATTTAACCGACCCCGTATCTCTTACGGTTACCGAGATCCCAATGATGAGGCTCGAATTTGGGCCACCCTGACATTTGAAAGCCTTTTAATCAAGCTTTTAATATCACTTTTAATCAACAAGGAAATACAGGGTGTCCCACCGGGAAGCACATCGATCTATATGTGAAAAACTGTATGCAATTTTTTTTTTTTTAATTTTACAGTATACTAATGTCAATGGGGACAACCCGACTAAAATATTTTCTGGATGGTAGCACTTCCGGTTATACCGGAAGAAGACGCCAACTTGCTTATTTAAATAAGACACCCTGTATATGATTTCATATTTGGATTCTACGTAAAATTCTGAGTAGATTTCGTGTGATACACCCTATACCTAAGTTCAACTGCTTTCGAAATATTGACAGCCGAAAATTGACTTTTTGGAACTTTGACAAGCTGTAAAACCTAAACGGTTAATTTTGGAGGAAATAGTTATTTTTCTAACAAGTGCGCAAAGTGTTACTGTTCCGCACGCAAATACAGTTATACGAACGACGCGAAGCGGAGTACGGATAAGTGTTTGCGTGCGGAAAAGACACTTTGCGCACGTGTTAGGAACAAAATTTTTCCTACGAGCTTCATATCAGGTAGGTAACAACAAAAATTTAAAAAAAAAAAAACAATAATTTGTTCAAATATTTTCAATTAATTTGAAGCGAACCTGAGTGCGAAAAAGTGTAACTTTGAGAACGGTAATGCGTGCGGAAAAGTTCTAATTTGCGCACGCTCGTAGGAAAACCGATTTTACATTCCCATCTTAGATTTTCAGAAACTATCATTTGACACCAACTTTGAATTTAACTGGAAATTAAATTTAATTGGAATTTTTAATCATGGATTAAATTCAAAGTTGGTGTCAAATGATAGTTTTTGAAAATCAAAGACAGGAATGTAAAATCGGTTTTCCTATAGCCTGTCAAAGTTGCAAAAAGTCAATTTTCGACTGTCAATATTTCCAAAACAGTTGAACTTACGTATAGGGTATCACATGAAATCTGCTCAGAATTTTACGTAGAATCCAAATATGAAATCATATACAGGGTGTCTCATTTCAAATAAGCAGTTAACGTCTACTTCCGGTATAACCGCAAGTGCCACCATGTTGAAAATATTTTAGCCGAGTTGCCCCCATTGACATTAGTATACTGTCAAATTTTCAAAAATTTTCTGCATACAGTTTTTCACATATAGATCGATGTGGTTCCCGGTGGGACACCCTGTATTAGCTTTGAAGTCATCTGTGTCACTAACCTTTTCCATAAGTATTTCAGATTGTCTCACTAGTATTTCAGATCCAGAATGCGTCAATTGTATTCCAGTTGCTTAAGTTTAATTTCAGAAAGTGTTAGTGTTATTTGTATTTCAACTTTGTCAGTTGTAGTTCAGAAAAGGTAATTTGTGTTTGAGACTTTTTGTTTGTAGATCAGTTGTAAATTGTATAATTATATAATTATATTGCAGAATTCGTCGAATGTATTTCAAATGTTATCAATGTAGTGTAATGAATAAAATTTATAATAGGTCTCCCATACACCTAGCTTGCATGTTGATTTGGGAAAATCTGCGTGGTATCTGCGCTCGGCGCTCAAATTTCCATGCGCGTCACATTACATAGTATGTATTTCTTATACTCCTAATAAAATAAATATCTATTATTATCTGAAATTCCTAACTAATGATTTTTGAACTACCTACATCTGATACATTCTAAAATATAATTTACATTTTCTGAAATACAATTGTCGCTTTCTGAAAAAATATAAACTGATCTGAAATACAATTGACTTTTTCCGAAATAAAATTAACTGATCTGAACTACAATTGACGCCTTCCGAAATACAATTTACTGTGTTAGGCCGGAATTACCCAATTCCTGAGCCTACTCCTTGATTCTCAATGCTTTATACCTTATTCTTGATTCATAAGAAGTTAACATCTTTTTGAATGAGAGCGTTCATCCAAATGCTTATTTCCTAATTGAATTTTTGAGAACCACCTCGAAAAGTTCTCAACTTTTAACTTTTACAAATTAAGGAATACAAACAAATACAAAAATGATGAGCAGTTTTACAGATAAAACGCAAATCTCTGGAATCACTAGACCGAGCACTAGATACAAATCAATAGTTTTTCATTTGTTACGTTTTACCTCGCCTTTTGAGGATGAGGGTTCGGATTCGGGGCCTCAAAAATGAAAAAAAAAAAGCATCAGACGACTTCGTGGCGCCTGACATCATCTCGGCCGTGATGGCATACGACGATTCTGATTGGTTTAATATTGATACATGCGCATCAACGTATGTATTCCCGTGTATTCCCAAATGTATTCCCAACTGTATTCCCCCTTTTACCCCTGTATTCCTAAACAATATAAATGTATTCCTATGTATACCCAACTGGTCATTACTCATTAGTATTCCCATGTTATTCCCTCTAAAATGTCCAGGGATTCCCAAATGTGGTTGACCCCTCGGCCTGATCTCATAAGCGATAAACGATGTCCACTAGATTAATATGAGATAATTTGTTCCAGACTTTCAAATTCAGGCTACTTTTCTTCTATAGTTTCGGTACGTTTCGAACAGCGAAACTGTCTTTTTCTTTATTTTGTTGATATCAATTAAGGTCCGTTTCACCAGGGTTCATACTTGACCTTGAAACTTGAAAAAAAAAATGGGTTTTCGTATATTAATTCATATGACACATTCAATTTTTTTGACAAATTAAAATGAATGACTTTTACACAGATTGACCCGTCCTAAAGATAGGAAACTTCCATGTAAAATGTTCGTTCGGAGCTGTCTCGAAAATAACACGTGTGGAGCTTCATGACTGCCAAAGCTATGCGGCGCTAGTATACAAATCCACAAGCAAATGTCATCTGTGAATGGTGAATATAATTTGTCAATGTGTTTGTCATCAGTTAGCCGTTTGATTTGTTTAGTGTTCTTTTATTTAATTTCCTATCAATTTTTGATAAAACTTTAACTTGTTAATATGTTTTTAAAAAAAGGGACTTTATGTTACATTCAAACATAGTGGAAATACTCGTGGAAATGGAATCAGTGATGGTTTTTATTTGCCATTGTTTAACATTCACATGAAGTGTGATTTGTGCACCAAATAAGACCAAAATACCTAAAAATATACCTCCATTTATAGCATAGGTATTACTGCAGTGGAAGCTTCTGAATTGATGCCATCACCACTTTATCCTCACAAACTTTGCTGAGTATGGAATTAGTGAATTTTATTTGCAGTATTACTTTTTATTGCTTTTTTTTCAATACGTTTTTCAATTATTGTTGTGTTTAAGGCTGTTCCAATAAAGAAGGAGATGGTACTAAAATGTTGTTGTTTTATTTCAAAAAAAATTACAGATAATAATAAAATAAAATCGACTAGGGACAAATTATTTGAAAAAAAGGCGGGAGACCACGTGATTATTGCTACAACACTGAACACACTGAAGGGCACACTAGCGCCCCCATGCTGTGGCAGTCATACAACTCGTTGTATGAGTAAGACAAGGATAGGGGAAAAGGCACGAGTTTCCTATCTTTAGGACGGGTTAATCTGTGGACTTTTGGTTTAAAAACTGACGAACGTCTTTGACGTCATTGATTTGTTTCAGTCAATTTTTATCTGGTAAACAAGGAAGGCAAATGCTGGTGGCAAGTACAAACCCTGGCGAAACAAACTTTACCTATATCAATGTCCATAGCTGTATGAAGCATAATGCATATTAGAATTTCTCGTGTCTAACCTAAACTCTAAACTTATAATGAGTATTTCAAGATTAGGGAAAACCCATTGTAAATTGGTACATTGATACTTTGATACCTGACTGTCAGGCCAGGTATCAGGGCCTCACAAAATGGTACTTATACAGCTATAGAATATTGTAAGTTATTTTATGATAGAGGTTCTTAAAGGGACAAATTCCTCAATGCAAACTTTGTCAAAGCCTTTGTTTAGTTTTCGGAGGGTTCGGTCAACAACAAATATAGGTAAAATAATTCAATGGAATAATCACAGTGTTGTCAGATGGATATTTTTTCTAACAGTACCTGCTACAAGAAAAAACAGTACAGATTTGCCTATCTGATGTCACGTAGTTCTGACCAGAGAATCAATTTCAATTAAATTAGATTTATGATCTATTAACAATAATTTCTGTGCCGTAATCTATTTCGATCATTTTATAGTATTTTTACTGTTATTTTTTCAATTTTTATAAATTTTTCATCATTTCATCGAATCATTTTTACAATTTCATTCCTGAGGATATTTTATCAAGTAATTATTAATTTATATTATTGATGCTTTTTTTTTTGTATTTTAATTTTTTATTTTTATTTGTATCTACATATTTTTATTTTTGTTTGCTTTTCACGTGAATGATTTTCTATTCCTCCTCTCTTTTCTCTTTTCACATAAACTGTTTAAAAATATTCCCCGGAACACTTGTCCACAAAAACTTTTAAAAAAATGCCAATGTGTTTTCTGGGTAAATTTAGTTTCTAAAAGTTGTTTTTCAATAATTTTTCATGTTGTTTATTTCACTGAATCAATTTGAATTTTTCTCTGAATGAGCTTGTGTTCTTTTTTTTTCATCTGAAAAACTTCAAAAATTTTACCCATAATAGTTTTCCGGAAAAATGTTCATAAGTGCGAACGAGAGTGTTTTTTGTTAAATTTGGTTTTTGAAAATTGATTTTCTATTGTAGAACTTTGTTCCTAAACATTTATAGGATCAAGCAGATGAAAAACGAATTAATTCATATAATTAACCGTTTTGTTTGTATTTTAATTTTTGTTTTTGTTTGTAATTTTGATTGTATACAATTATTAGTATGTGTTTCAATTTTTGTCATTTTGTTCCACCTATATTTATTACATTTTTATTTTAAAATAAAAGCATACGTGCACATCTCAACAACATTGCAAAATGGATTTCAAGAAAATGTAATTTTTGGAAATATGTGTTTCAAAAAAATATCGAGTATAGAACGCCTGTTCTCATTTGCAAAGTTTTTGTTTCAAATTATAAAATTTGGTAATTTTTTTCCTGATTTAATTCAAAGCCAAAACATTTTCCAAAATACAATAATTCAATAATTCAGTCCGGCAACATTGTAAACATTTGGTCTACTTTGCTTGGGCTTGGTTGGGTTGGTTTATTTATTTGGTCTGAGTCTGGGTGGCTGGGTGCGTGCCGTGTGAACGAATTTGATATTCATTCTTCAACCTTCTTATAGAGAACCTTCTCAAGTTGGAATAAAACCCAAATTTTTAAATTATAGTGAAAATTTACAAAAAGTGAAATAAGTTTATTTGTTTTATGTAGTTGATTTTTTCGCATTTGAAAGTGAATATTGAAATGGTTGATTGTGTTCAAATTATGAGAGAAAATTCTCAAGCTTTTCTTTACAATTTAAAGACAACGGATTTCACCTTGAGAAGTGCGACCAAGGGATTTCTACAAGAAAATGGTGGCTCCATATTGTGTCTAGAAACTACAGATGTTGATGTAACTAGAGTTTTATTAGCACAAGTTTTGATGAACTTTAAAAAAGATACAATTTTGAAAAACAATTTAAACGAAATTCTCTTCATTGATTTTAGTAGTCTTACTACATTGACTCCAGAACAAAATGAAGATTTTGTGAAAAATTTTCCCAATTTGTTGGTTTGCATTTGGGACAATCAAGAACAATTTAGTAAACAATTACATATATTGGAATCTTTGAAAAATGTTATCAAAGTAAATGGCAAAAAAATAATTTTTATTGTGAAAAATTCAAAACATCTGGAAAATACTATAATGGATAATGAAATGACGAATATTTTTACATTAAAGTTAAATGAATTGTGGAAAAAGAATGAGATATTATCGACGAATAATGAAGCCATTTGTGAGGTTGAAATTAATTTAGTGAACATTGAATCAACTCCTACAAGAGCCTTGGATGAAATTACGAATATTAATTCAAAGGAGAAAGAATCAACTATAAAAACGTCATCACATGATGAAGCAACAACTGAAGAAGCAGATTTGAAAAATTTATTACAATCACTTGGTGTGGAAGAATTGGATGCTGTAGATAAGTTTGGCGATACTCAATTGCATTTAGCAGTTCGACATGGAAAAACAGAAATTGTTGAATCGCTTTTGGTTCACAGAGCGAAAAGGGACGTAAAAAATATTTATGGCGATACAGCTCTCCATTTGGCAGCTGAAAAGGGTAACAGTACAATTGTTCATCTGTTGCTTGAAAGCGGATTTAATGTGAATGTCACTGACAATTTGAGTAAATACACCCCACTTCATAACGCAAGTTTATACCATGATGATGCCCATTTGGTAGAAATTCTTTTGAAATTTGGTGCCGAAATGGAAAGAAGAAATAATATCGGCAAAACAGCTCTTCATATGGCATCTTTCAAAGGTCACAGTGCAGTAGTAAATTCATTGCTAAAAAATGGCGCCAATATAAATGCTCGAGACAATAATGGAAATACACCTTCGCACTTGGCTACATTTGGCAATAAACCAGAAGTTGTATTAATACTTCTACAAAACGGCGCCCTTTTGAACATAAAAAATAAACAGCAACAAAATACTGTCGATTTGGCCAGATCCAGCAATCTTCCTGACATAACCCAAATATTGGAAAATCATAAATAAAGTCACATGGAACATGGAATATTGAAGTAAATAAAATTAAAAAAGGTAATTTTTTGTTTAAATTACAAATAATTTATAAATAATTCAAATATTTTCTTTTTTAGTTTAAAATCATCGAGCAAAATGAATAATAGAACTGCATTAAGAAGAATAATCAATCTTAATAAAAGGAAGCAAAAGTTATTGGCATTAGAACTTCTTTTTGTATTTTTTTTGTATACCCTCCGTTTCCTTTTTTTTTAAATTGTAATATATTTTTTTAAATTTTTTAATCTATTTTTTTTCCTATATATTTTTTTTTTCGTCTAATTTTCTGTTTATTCCTGGCTTTTGAATTTCGTTTATGTTTTCCTTCCCGACATAAAAAAAAAATAAAGAAATTTGGGAGCTTCGAATCTGAAATGAAAAAGTAATAGTTTCAATTTTCAAAGAATAACTTACACCTAACATGGGATTTATGGGTTCTATGGATTTTTCCCATTTTTTGATATGTTGTAGAGGATTTAATTCTGAACAACCTTTGAATGGGACGAAATCTTATAGGTATTACGGCCTTTGAGATATTAGCGTTGAAAAATGAACTTTTTTGCGACGTTTTGTGTAGAGAGTAAACGAGATACTGGTGCTACTGGTGTTTATCAGTCAAAATATGGACAGGTTTACATATTTTTTCTAATTTTGACATTTAAAGAGACACTTTTCAAAACTCGTTGACGTTATCAAATGTCTTACTTTTCATCACCAGTTACGAGAAGTAAAATTTTTCGCAACTGATGATGAAAAGTAAATTTCACCATCAGTTGCGAAAAATTCAGAAATAAAATTTGTGATAATTTTAACGCTAAACTACTTGAAGTATTGTTATTATATTTTTTGTAGGTACATACATATGGAAATTTAATTTGACCATGAACTAGACATAGGGCCAAATCATATTTGCTTTTCGACTTCTTAGGAATAATTTATTTTATCCCATTTTGACGTTTAAAAATGACATTATTGAACGCATAATAACAAAGGTAAGTAGACGTTTATCACATGAGTGACTTAAAATATTTTTAACTCACTCTCGGTCTTTTAAGTCACTCTGTCAGTATAAAAATCTGCTACAAATATAAACAAACAACTAGTTATACCCTAGCAACCACCAATTTCAATAATTAGCGCTTTCATAACCACTAAATGAATTCTTTTCATAATTTGATTAATAATAATAATAATAATAATAAATTGGTTTATTTCAAATAAATACAATATAAATACAATTTTCAATAGTTACATTTGCTGAAATAAACATTAAGCGCAGAAGCTTCATTTCTGTTGCTTGTTAGCGCTGTTATTTTGTCACATCCTGGTAATTGTCACTTTTTGGGGTTTTCAGTCACTTTTTGGGTTTTTTAGTCACTTTCAGGTATATTGTCACATTTCTTGAATTTCTCACAATCTGGGGTCACTTATGGTTTACTTATACTTTATTTTTAAATATAATCCTACTTAACTTATAAAAATTTATATTATTTCTTATTCAAACAATTTATGTATTATGATTCTATTATTCTGTAACATCCATTGCTTAGTTTTATTTCTAAATTTTTTCTCATATATGATGTCTTTTCAGTTCTTTAGGCAATACATTATAGAATTTCGGAGCTAAAAAATTTATAGACTTATGACCTATTTGTTTACGACTCTTTGGGACCACCACGCAATTTTTCTGAAATCTGGTATTTTTTTCGTGGCTTGCAGATTGAAGAGTAATTTTTTGTTTATTTATAAACATTAACAGATTTAAGAAATAGAGTTGTCGTATGTCGAATATTTTTGTCTCCCGGAACAGTTGTTCACTAGGAAAGTGTCTGTTTTTACTAAACATTATTTTTAATATCCATTTTTGAATGACGTTTAATTTATTTAAGTGACACTCATCAACACTTCCCCAACCCACGATTCCATAACTTAATTGCGACTGAACTAGTGCAAAATAAATGGTTTTCATATGCTCTACTTCAAGATACTCTTTTAGATGGTAGAACCGTGCAATCAGATATCTCGTTTTAGAAAGGATATTATTTACTTGTTTGTCCCACCGTAGATGTTGATCTATTATTATTCCCAGGTATTTAATATTGTCCACTCTTGATATGCAAATATTTTGGCCCACATTTAAAAAATAATATTCGGGTAAGTTAGCCTGATTAAGAGTGAGTTTGTTGTTCTGAAACCACTTAAAAATATCATTCAAATCCGATTCTGCTTTAGATTTAAGATCCTGCCACGAGTTTCCTTTGTAAAAAATAGCAGTGTCATCAGCAAAACTTACCAGATGACCTTTCCAGTCTGTCCTTAAAAGGTTATTTATATAAAGGGTGAATAAAAGCGGACCCAGAACTGTCCCCTGAGGAACACCACAAGTCACAGCTCTACGTCCACTCTTAAAACCATCAATGTTGACATACTGGGTTCTTCCGGTTAAATAGCTTTGGAGAAGATTTATTACGCTGCCTCTAATGCCAATCTGATAAAGTTTTTGAATAAGTTTTTCGTGACAGACTGTGTCAAAAGCCTTGCTAAGATCTATAAATACACAAAGAGATGGCTTTCGTTGGTCCAGTGCCTCATTTATTTCATTTGTAAGACTAGCTATTGCATCTTCGGTGGACTTTCCCGATCTGAAACCAAATTGTTTTGGTGATATTAACTATTGTTTTTCTAAAAATAAATTTACTCTTTGTTTTATTGCCTTTTCAAAAATTTTTGAGATATTAGAAATAAGTGATATTGGTCTATAATTGCCCAGCTCAGTTTTTGATCCACTTTTAAACAAGGGCTTAATTTCCCCAATTTTCAAAACATCAGGAAAGTTACCGATACGAAAACCAAGATTAATTAAAAACGATAAAATTGGCGATATTTCATTTGAAATTTCTTTAAGAGTCTCGGAGCGTATTCCATTTGGTCCTGGAGCATTTTTAAGTTTCAATTGCTTGATAATCGTCATAATTTCTCGATCCGATGTTTCTTTTAAGAAATATAAACTTTTATTGGACCAACTCATTTGTTCTCTGTAATTTTGACAAGGGCTGATATTTTTAGCTAAATTCTCTCCCACTTCACAAAAAAAATTATTAAATTGGTTTGCAATCTCAGTTTTGTTTGTAATAATATGTGATTCTGACGTCTTAATGTTTTCAATTTGTGTTTTTTGACATGATTTGTTGCATATTTGGTTGACACCCTTCCATAGAGCATCAGATTTATTTCTATTTTTATTGATTTGGTCCTGAGCAGTTTGTGTCTTACATTTTTTTATTGCTTTTGTAAGTTGATTTTTGTAAATTTTATAACGATCTTTAAGATAAGCATTTTGAGGTTCCTTCAGAATTTTGTTATACAGTAAATGTTTTTCTTTTATCTTGTTTAATAGAGCTTTTGTTATCCACTTATTTTTACCATTTTTTGTGTTTGTTTGTTTAATAGTTTTTATGTTTTCTGAGATTTTATTTTGAAGTATATGTAAAAAGTTTGAGACTGCAAGATTTAAATCCTGAGCATTAAAAACCGTTTCCCACCCCTCGTTTCGCAAAGCCCTTCTTAGTTTTTTATAGTATGTGTATGATTTTGTTCGTTCGTTTATTTTCTGTGTATTCGTAATTGACGTTTCAAATGTGAATGCTATTGGATGGTGGTCCGTGATTTTATAATCTATAATATATGAATTAGAGTTCTTGAACAATTTTCATTTTCGCCCTTAACATATATGTGATCAAGACAAGTTTTCGTCAAGGGTCTTGTGTAGTATTTATTAATATATGAGGTGTAGCCGTAAGCTGCTAAGACACTTTTGTAGTTTTCTGTAGGATTTTTGTTTTCTTTTAATAAATTTATATTGATATCTCCGATTATAATGTGTTTTTTTCTATTTTTGCTCAAATCGAGGTAATCAGAGAAATCTTCTACAAAGACGTTTTCATTGACTGATGGTGATCTGTATATGCATGTCAAGAGAAATTTATGTTGATTTTCACCAATTTGAAGTTCAATGCATTTTACGTCACCAATAAATTTGAAGGTAGACTCTATTTTAATTGATTCCTTGACAAAAACTACAATTCCATCACACCTATTTAATGTTCCTTCACTATATATACAAGAATATCCAGGTAGGTTATAGATTTGTAAGTCGCTTATTATATGTGTTTCTGTTAAAACGATTATTTCAAATTTTTGTTTAAATTGTTCTAAAAAACACAAAAATTCCGTGTAATTTGTCTTTATACCACATATATTCAAATGAATTATTTTGAAATGTGTACCTGCAATAATTTGTTGATTCAAATATTGTAAATTTTTTATCAACTGTGGAACTACAGTATTTTCGTTCAAATCTCTGAGGAATTGATCCATTTTATATCAAGATAGCTAGCCCAAAACTACTTACTAAATATTAATTAACTAACCCAAAACCACTCTAATAAATTCAATTATTTAACTTATAAATAAATTAACCTAATCTATAATGAAAGAACAACCAATATTTAAAGAAATATCAATTCAATTATTATTTCTGTTCTTAGTTTTTTTGGATCTCAACCCGATTCCGCTTCCTCGAGTTGGAGTGTGCTTCGGTTTTCGTTTTTTTGCTTTTTGTCTATCTAAGACTTCCACTGCTTCTTCTGGAATAAAGTCCTCAGATCCAGACTCGTTGCTGGAACTTCCGGTAACGCTGTTTATGTCGTCTAATTCATTTGCAGAGTATTGCTGACCGTCAATTTCTAACTTAAAGCCTTTTATTTTTGCTTCCTTATTTTCTTCACGAGCTTTTTTCATGTACTTCCTTAGTATCTTTAACTCTTCTCGGTCTTCTTTGCAGTAATCGTGAGAGACTGAAATTCCTGTGCCCTTTTAAGTACCTTATTTTTCAAATTTCTATGTGAGTTAAAAAAATGTTTATTCATTCGAAGAAAATTAACCCACTCGCTAGGGCTCGTGGGTTAAACTTT